CGCTCGTGAAAAAAAGTCGGCAAACCCGAATTCTAGCTCACTCGAATCTTAGGCTTCCCCGAACAAGCGACCTCACCCTGTCCTGTGCAGGCCGTTCGTTGGTATCTGTGTTGGGAAATATTGTAGCACATGCGATCAGGATCAAGGGAAGTTAGACAAGGTAATGCTGAAGCTAGCCATGCCGAGTATTAGCATCGTGGGCAGCTCTGCGCTGATTGTGGATAAGGAAAATGAAGCATTGAAGCAACTGGCAGGCACGAAACCTTGGTCCACGGGAGATCGAGGCATTGATTTCCAGGCGAGCACGCACGCCATCTGTCCGCAAACAAAGGCTACCCACGCTGACGGCTAACGCAAACCGGCTCCACCGCATGAAAGGACCCAAAACAAGTAGATGAAGGGTCGTTTCTTTTTGACAGGAGCCCACTCCACAATGCTTTGCGGAACAGCTGCGACTGGCTTCACTCCGATCGATATCCACACACTCAGAACCTTGCAAGCCAAAGCGTTGCCTTGATACCAAATGCGGGCTCAACCAGATCTTTGGTGGGAATCAGTCACAACGACGGAAAGATCCACTTCACCTTGCAACAGCGCGTATTGCAAGGTATGCTTGGGATGCTAAAACACCCCCCCCCCCGGCGCAAGCAAGGGACTCTTCATGAGGGCGCTCTTACCCCAGAAGAGTTGAACGCTGCCTTTCACTCAGTTAGCGCTCATCTTTGAAACACGAAGACGAAGCTATGGCTAGGTGAAACAACAGGACCCATCAGCATGAGACTGAAATATCTTCGAGTGGCAAATTGGACAATGCAATCTCGTACGCTGTTCGAAGACTCGCAAGGCAGTCCGTACAGCCTTGTAGACACACCACCAAGCCAGATGGCGCACGCACTCGTAGCAGATGCCTTCAATCAGAACGTCCAAGAGCATGTTCGGCAGAAGGTTCCCTGAGGACCGGGCTGTGTTTACACAGGGTCTTTGGCGGGAGCTGTTTCGAATGATCACTACTCGAACGAAGCGTTTGTCAACTAGGCAAAAACGGCGTTGTCGGTCTGCGTTCTGATGGGCGTATACGACGAGTCAACAGTTGCAGCAGTTGGGATGTAGTTGCGCAAGTATATGCCCATATAGCAGTCAGGACGATACGTCTTTCTCACAGGAGATGGGAGTGTTCATTCCTTGAGGAACTCAGGCAGCAGGTGTCGGGAGACGTTGTAGCAATAGCTGTAGCAGCAGGACCAGGACAGCCCCTCTGTTCAGTCGGCTTTGGGCTCCACGGCCCGAAGCTCCAGCATTAGCAGGAGACTGGGCCTTTGAACTTTCCGACGTACATGGCCATTGTGAAGCAGGTCTCTTTGCTGCAGATCTACCGATATCTTGTAGGTGGAAGTGCATTGGACCCAAACCTGGAAAGATATGTATAGAGCAGGCTACGCAAATCACTCCCACAAGCCAGCTGCTGCGAGTAGTTGGGTTCCCGCTCCCAGGATGGCGCCAACAAAACTGCAGTAATGTTGATCAAGGAAGCCTGGTCATGGCCATTCAGTGGTCCGAACATCCCAGAACAGCACCGTTCATTCTTGCTTGTTTAGGCCTCATGAAGGGACCCCGCCAGGGATCCTCAGACCTTCAAATTCAGCGGTTACTGCAGGGCGGTAGGCAGCTTGCTCCCCTCTCCCGATTGGCCCCAGCATAGGAAGGTCAAGGCCCATAGGTGGAGGCGGCAATCGACGACGAGGACACCTACATCATCTTAGGCTATCGAGCTGCAGACCACCATGCAGGGCAAGCAGCAGAAGCGCGTGCAGTAAACCCTCAGCATTCAGAGAAATGAGAGGCTAGTGCTGATGTGTAGGAGGATCCCTTGGTGGGGATAGGTCTTCTCTTAGATGCTCGGCCTGACAGCGAGACCCTGTACGACCACCTTACAAAGAAAGCAGTACAACGCCAGCCCCGCAAATTCGTCACGCAACATGATCTGCCACGGTTCAGGCTCCGGATGTGAACACTGTTTCGCTTCCGTGTCACCCGGCACGAACAAGCCCTGCAGACAGCAGCCACAAGGTTTTAGGGATGGTGTAGCCCAAGCTAGGCAGCAGAAACACATCCTCAACCCAGGTTGGGCCGAAGAAGTGGCAATATCCCAATCTTGTTGTGCATCGAATGTGGAGGTTTCACAGAGGGGGCCAAGAGCGCTCCCAAACTGGGTGCTCTGTGCAAAAAAAAGATCCCATCGGAGCTCCGCAAGCTCCATAAGAACCAGGTTTTAGGCACCCAACTCCTGCTTGAGCACGTGCTAGGCTTGCCTTTTCTGCTCGCAGACCTTGGATCGCAGTGCTTGTGCGCGCGCGCGTGTGTGTGTGTGTGTGTGTGTGTGTGTGTGTGTGTGTGTGTGCGTGTGCGTGTGCGTGTGCGCATGCGCGTGCGCGTGCGCGTGCGCGTGCGCGTGTGCGTGTGCGTGTGTGTGCGTGCGTGTGCGTGCGTGTGCGTGCGTGTGTGCGTGTGCGTGTGTGCGCGTGCGTGTGCGCGTGTGCGTGTACTTGTGCGCGTGCACGTGCCCCTTCGCGTTTGCGTGCGCGCGAGCGTGCGCGCGTGCGTGCGTGCGTGCGTGCGTGCGTGCGTGCGTGCGTGCGCGTGTGTGTGTGTGTGTGTGTGTGTGTGTGTGTGTGTGTGTGTGTGTGTGTGTGTTTGTGTGTTTGTGTGTATGTGTGCGTGTCTGTGTGATTGTGTGTGTGCGCGGGATATGTCCTAGCGCGGCGCGGGTGCTCCCCTCTGCCCCCGAGATCCACAGGCCGTTCTCTACCCCGATGGCATGTGATGGACTTTAGCATCCTACCCATTTTCAAACTCCCACACTCCGAGGCGGCCCAGGACGTCCCCCAAGTGGCGCCCCAGGACTGCCCAGGAGGCTGCTGGGAGTCCCCTCGCTCCTCGCTCCTCCCTCCCTCCGCCCCCTCCGCCCCCAGGAGGCCCCTGAGAGGCCCCCAGGAGGCTCCAAACCTGCCCCCAAGAGGCCCCCGACCTCTCCCCAGTGGGCCCCCGAGACCGCTCCGAAGCGACCCCCGAGAAACATCCCTGAGGACTCCGACCCACAATCCGGGCACGGTGGCGGGATGGGCCGAAGGCCATTCGATGAGGCTGCGCTGCGACGGCTGCATCTGCCTTGCCTTTGCGCCCCCGCTGAGCCCCTGGGGGCCCGCAGCACGGCGCCGAGATCACCCGAGATGGCCCCAAGCGGAGCCCAGGGGGGGGCCCGAGAGCGGGGGACCAACGGGCGGGAGGCCCCAAGCTGGCCCCGAAACGGTCCCGCGATGTCTCAGAGGCAATCCTGCGGCAACCCAAACTGGTCCAACGCAGCCGCCCAAGCGGCCCCCCAGATGCCCGAAGGAGAGCTCGACACAGCCCCACTCCAACCCAAAAGGTGGCCGAGATGGTGCAGGGCATCCCACAAGAGGCCCCTCGGATGCCCCACGGAACTCCAGGGACCCCCCCCAGGGCCCTCTGGGCAAGAACCATGAACAATAGCAATCAGGCATCAGGCACAACACAGCGAACGGCGAATGACAAGAATGAGGAGAGCGGTCATCCAGGGCAATACAGGCCCAATCATGTAAGGCAAAACCAGCTAGGGAGGAGATGTACCACGAGATGCACCAGACGCAAAAGAGAGGAGGATGGACGCTCGTGGGCGCTGGGCTGAGGCCGAGAAGAAGGCGAGGGCGGGAAACCAGGAGGAACATACAATAGATACGAATGAGGAGGAGAAGAACACAAGTTACGTCGAAGTGAACAGGAGCGGGGCAGGATGGAGGGAATGGGTGGGTGATGGGTGGGGTGCTCGGGGACAGTTGTCTTCTGTCTTCCCAAGCCCCGTCTTCCCCTGTTCGGGCATGGGGGCTAGGGGGTCCTGTTTGGTCCAAGAAATGCCCCCTACCCCCCAAAACGGCCCCCGACATATCTCCGAGAGGCACCAATACGGCAATACGACAGCGCCAAATGCTCCTAAAGCCCCCAGCCCCGCCAGGAACTTCCATGGAACAGTCCAACAGGCCCATATCGCCCCAACACATCTAGGGACATCAATGATGTCGCGTGTCTGACCATTTCGCCTGCGATTGGCCTCTGAGGCATTAAGATGGTCCCACCATGGCCCCAGCGAGCCCGAAGAGGAGCCCAAGATGGCCCCGATAAGACCCAAAGAGCGCCCCAAGAGCGTCCTAAGAGGGCCCCAATAGGCAAGTGTTCGGCCCCCGGGAAGGGGGTGGCTGATTTCAGCCGCCCTCGTGTCGTGGCAGGGCTTACGAGATTCCTCCAAGAGGGCCTCCAAGGCACACGAGAGAGCACCAAGACAAGAGCCCCCCCCCAAGAAACAAGCTCCAGAGGCCATCGAACGTACCCCAAGATTGCTCCAAGAGGCTTCCCGAGGGCTTCACCTTCACTGTTGGCATAGCTGCTGCATTGTACGCTTACCTACGCCCCTCCTCCAGGCAACTCTCGTGGGCGTCGTTGCTGGAAGGGCTGGTGAGGACACGGGCTACGCAGTCAGAGCCACAACAAACTGCAAACACCAGAATATGAATGAGGTCCGCGCGGGTTCCTGGGATCGGCTCTGGAGGCGCCGCCAGGGGGGGGCCAGTGCCGACCCGAGAAATCCGCGTGGACCTCAGAGAAATGATGCGTATGCAATGTTTTCTTCTTCGATTGCCTACGCCCCTCCTCCAGGCAGCTCTCGTGGTCCGTTTCTGGCAGGGCTGGTGGGGATACGCGAGCCCGGCCCCACGCGCCAGCGCGAGCCCGAGCCCGAGCCCAAATGCGCGCCCCAGCCCGAGCCAGAGGAACTCGTGAAGCTCGCCGAGCCCGACAAGATCGTCGAGCCGGTGGAGCGCGTCGAGCCCGCCGAGCAGCTACGCGAAGCGCGCCAAGGTCGTACGCAACCCGACGGGGCACGGCGTCGCACCCAGAGCAGAGCGCAGAGCGGAGGCGACCGAGCCGCGCACGCCGCCGCTGCCAGGCCCAACCCGCCAGTGGCGGCCTCAGCTGCCGCCCCCCTCCCTCTCGCCTTCCCATGCGGCAACCCCGATCCTCCATCTGCTCACTCTCATCGTCGTCGTGTTCCTCCTCCGCCTTCCCTCTGCTCCCCCTGGGCCTCCCTCCTCCTCCTCCTCCTCCTCCTCCTCCTCCTCCTCCTCCTCCTCCTCCTCCTCCTCCTCCTCCTCTCTCATACATCCTTCTACCTCCACTTCGCTTCCATGATCCTTCCTGATTTTCCCCCCCTTCCTAAACTTCCTCCTTCCCCTCTCTCTTCAGCCAATTCTAGGTCCCCCCTCGTCCGCCATCCCTCCTCCACATCCTTCTCCTTCTTGTCATCCTCGCACCACCCCATCCGCTGTCTACCCCCCTCCTCCGTGTACCCCTGCTTGTTGGATCTTCTGTCTACCCCCCCTCCCCCCTCCGCCGTCTCCCCCCTCCTTCATCTGCCCCTCCTTGGCGCGTGGCGTCGGAGGCGCCGCCAGGGGGGGCCGGCGCCGATCCACGAACTCAGCTCGAACCTTCAAACATTCATGCTTATGCCGGGTTTCCTTATTCGCTGCAGGGCTGGCAGGGGGCAGGTTCGGGTGGTGCTCAAGGTGCCCCTGGCCCAAGGTGCCCCCAGCTTCTCGCCAACGCCTGGCCACCCCTGGGCCTCGTGAGGGGTGCTCTGGAGGCCGTGTGGGCCTCCTTCGGACTCCTGGGGGCAGCTTTGGGCCAGGGGCACCTCTAGCAGCATGCGACAGTTGGGTGCTCGCGGTGTCGGGAGCGGCCAAGAGGGGGGTGTCCAACAGGGGGGGTGCAAATCATGACCGGCGGCATGTGCGCGGCCCAGCGGGGGGGCCAGGGACGTAATGAAGTAAGAAGAGGCGCCATGAAATCTGGGGAAATATCATGACCCCCGCCATGATATTCACCCCTCCCTAGTCATCACCCCCCTCTTTTCCGCCCCCGACGGTGGCCATCGGCGTCGGCTACAGTCAGGGCTGCCGGGCCAGGGGCGGCTGGGCGGGGTCGGGTGGTGGCAGGCGTGGGAGACCGCACGGGCGCAGGCCGCAGCGGGGGAGGCTGGTGGAAAGCAGGCGAAGCCTCCACGAACCCACAAGAGGCACGAGGCGCCCGCGAAGGGTGACGAGATCTGTGCACATCCGCTGCTCCTGGCCGGGCCCACAGGGCGTGTGCGCCAGTCCTGAGCGGGAGCATCTCGGGCCCAGGAGCTGTGTATGCGCCATCCTGGCTTGGCGAGGAAGGCATTGCGCCGCTCCTGGGCCCAGCAAGGGCTCTTTTTTTTCACAGGGGATGTACATACATGTGTACATACATCCACTCAATATATATATATATACATGCATACATGCATGCATGCTGCCATGTTTGTATACATAAATGCATGCATACGTATGTATGCATAGATGTGTACATGTACATGCAAGCAAACATATAGTCACGCCTATATACATACATAAACATGCATGCATGTGTACATGTATATGTAGATGTATATGTAACTGTATATGTATATGTAGTAAACAGAGAATATCCCCAATCAATATCTGTTTTGAAGGTTAATCTGGATATTGAGATCGAGTGGGAAATCGGTACTGGGATCGAATCGTGGGATCCATGGCGGGGACGATAGTAAGGTCGATCGTGGGACCGACAGTTCGTGTAGTCGATTCAGTGAGATCGATTGTGAAATTGCTCGTGCGATCCATAATGAGATCGATAATGAGGTCGATTGTGAAATCGACAATGGGATCGATGGAGGGGTGGGTAATGAGATTGATGGTGAGACCGATCGATGAGGAGATCGACGAGAAAACCAGGAACCCGGAAACCCGGGAACCCCGCCGCCTACTAACATCGGCCTTGTAGCGGCGAATGGGCACGGGGGAAGTCGGAACCAGGAACCCGGGAACCCGGGAACCAGGCCGCCTACCGAAATTTGCCAGGTACTGTTGAACATGTTTTTAATCCCAGCTCGGACCCCTTCAATGAAGGCACTGATTGGGGAATCGGTATCTTGATATGTATACATACATGTTTTGGTATGTGCACATGTGCATGTATGTGTATATACATATATATGTGTATGTATGTATATATATATATATATAGATGTGCGCATGTAAATTTATATGTGTATGTAAATGTATATGTATGTGGAGACGCTTATGCTCATATGAATGAGTACGTATGTCTAAGTAAATACATATGTAGGTGCATGCACGATCACCGGCCGCGCCGCTGCCCATCAAAGGGGGCTGTCCCTGGCGCAGCTCCACGAGAACACTGACGACCGCAGGGCACTGAAACATTAGCCTGGCGAAAGACCCAACCACATGAGTTGTAAATACTGCAATTATATGTATCGTATTCGGTGGAGCTCCCTATGGGCCACGAAACGCAATGCTGGGTGGGGGAGAAACATGCGGACTTTGCCATTGGGGCCTTCCGTGGAGCGCCGGGCCACGAAACGCTGTGTTGGGTGGGGGAGACGCATGCGGACTTTGCCATTAGGGCCTTCGGTGGAGCTCCCCATGGGCCACGAAACGTTGTGTTGGGTGGGTGAGGCGCATGCGGACTTTGCCACTGGAGCCTTCGGTGGACCCCCCCATGGGCCACGAAACGTTTTGCTGGGTGGGTGAGACGCATGCGGACTTTGCCACTAGGGCCTTCGGTGGAGCTCCCTATGGGCCACGAAACGTTGTGCTGGGTAGGGAAAACGCATGTGGATGTTGCCAGTGGGGCCTTCGGTGGAGCTCTGCATGGGCCACGGATCGGTGGGGCTCCCTATGGGGCCACGAAGCGATGTACTGGGTGTGCGGGGCACATGCGGGCGGTCCCATTGGGACGTTCGGTGAGGCTCCCTATGGGGCCAAGGAACGTTGGATTGGGTGGGAGCGGCGCATGCGGACGGTCCCGGTGGGCCGTCGGTGGGGCTCCCAGTGGGGCCATGAAGCGCTGTACTGGGTGCGCGGGACGCAGGCGGGCGCGGCCCCACTGGGGCCGTCGGTGGGGCTACCTATGGGGCCACGAAGCGCTGTAATGGGTGCGGGACGCACGCGGGCGGTCCCATTGGGGCCGTCGGTGGAGCTCCTTATGTGGCCACAAAGCGCTGTGCTGGGTGGAGCGCGACGCATGCGAGCGGTCCCAGTGGGGCCGTCGGCGGGGCTCCTCCCTATGGGGCACGGAACGCTGTTCTGGGTGGTGCGTGGCGCATGCGGGCGGTGCCACAGGAGCCGTCTGTGGAGCTCCCTATGGGCCACTAAGCGCTCTACTGAGTGGTACATAACGCATGCGGGCGGTCCCTCTGGGACCGTCGGTGGAGCTCGCTATAGGGCCACGAAGCGCTGCACTGGGTGGTGCGTGGCGCAGGCGGGCTGTGCCACTGGGGCCGTCAGTGGAGCTCCGTATGGGCCACGAAACGCTGTACTGGGTGGTGCGTGACGCATGCGGGCGGTCCCACTGGGACCTTCGGTGGAGCTCCATATAGGGCCACGAAACGCTGTGGGCGGTCCCACTGGGGCCGTCGGTGGAGCTCCGTATGGGGCCACGAAGCGCTGTACTGGGTGGTGCGCGACGCACGCGGACGGTCCCATTTGGGCCGTTGGTGGGGCTCCCTATGGGGCCACGAAGCGATGTACTGGGTGGTGCGTGACGCATGCGGGCGGTCCCACTGGGGCCACGCAGCGCTGTACTGGGTGGTGCGTGACGCATGTGGGCAGTCCCACTGGGACCGTCGGTGGAGCTCCCTATGGGGCCACGAAGCGATGTACTGGGTGTGCGGGACGCATGCGGGCGGCCCACTGGGGCCGTTTGTGGAGCTCCCTATGGGGCCACGAAGCGATGTTCCGGTTGGTGCGTGACGCATGCGGGCGGTCACACTGGGGCCGTCGGTGGAGCTCCCTATAGAGCCACGAAGCGCTGTACTGGGTGGTGCGTGACGCATGCGGGCGGTCCCATTGAGGCCTTCGGTGGAGCTCCCCATGGGGCCACGAAGCGTGTGAGTGTGCTGAAACGGGTGATGGTGATGACGATCATTGTGATGGAGGAGGGAAGAGGGGGAGGAGGAGGAGAGGAGAGGAGAGGGACGCGGGGCACCGTCTGTTCAAAACGAGGACCCAACGCCACAGGATGGTTGGGAACAAAATCCCGACATCGCCCCGGACTCGGGAGAGGAGGAGGAGGAGAGGAGGAGGAGGAGGAGGAGGAGGAGGAGGAGGAGGATCAGAAGGAGGGAGCCGGGCCGTGCCTGACGAAATTCTTCGCGGAGCGCCGCCAAAGAAAAAATACAATACATCGCACCACGACGGGGGAACTACTGGTAGCCTGAGGGCACAGGCGGCCCCACCCTGCAGCGGGCGGGCAACGCGGCGGTTGCCGAGCCACACTGGGCACAACAAGCAACCAGAGGGGGGGAAACGACACGAGGAGGAGGAGGAAGAGGCGGAAAAGGAGGAGAGGCGCCAGAAGATAGCCTCGAATCACGGGAAGGCCGACGCGCCCCCAAAAACAACACGCCTGCTTGCACATCGCTGGCTGCTGGCGCTGGCTGAGGCGGACATCTGGCCATCGCTCGGACGTCCATTCCTTGTGTTGTTTTTTTCGGTTTCGTGCGTGTTTTTTTTCGCCAGATGATCAAGGATGCTCCTCGATGGTCCTCGCCGAAAGAAGAATGCACACGTCCGACCGATGCCAAGACAAATCCTGCCCCCCTGAGGGACAAACCAAAAAAATAGCCCCCCCCCCCCGTGAAAATTATTGCCCGGGCGGGGGGGCGAAAAGGAAGAAGGGGAGGACGAAGAAGGCAATGGGTGCTTATGTGCGGGCGGATCCTGGGCCTTCCCGCTCAGGGTGAATCCAAGATCCTCATGACGGCGCTATGCCCCGCCACGGCGTTACGACAGTGCTGCTTCAGTGCCTCGAAAGCGACGCCCGCGAACGCACGCGAGTTTGTCTGTACGAGTTGGTCGCGCTGTATGTCGCGTTCAACAGGCCGCCATGCAAGTCAGCCCCTCGGAATCATCCAGAAACGACCGGTGAGCTAACAAAAAAGGTCCACTGTGAACGGGGTGCTGTGGCGCATATTGAGAAAAGGTACCGGCAAACAGCCGCACGCTGTTGCAGAACACGTAGCGCTAGATCGAATCCTCCGCGTGGCCCTGGCAAAAAAAAACAAGCAAAAGTTCATAGGCCAGGCCTGGCGCTGGAAACGGCGCGGCGTGCACCACCTGTTCCATAAAATGGACAAGCAAGCGGCTTCCTGAACACAGGGCGCGACGAGGGAGGGAAAACATCGAAAGTGGCGCGCAACTCTGGCTGCTGAATGCGCCCGTGGGCCTGGCAATTGCCACCTGGACATCTTGGAACGGACTCGCATGACGAAGTCGGGTTGGCATTCCGCCTTGAGGAGATCGTATGGTTCGCGTTCAAACTCCGACGGATCCTGCGCTGAACCGCGGCGTCGTCCTCTACGGCAGGGGGCGGGCGCGTGATGATGGACGCGATGGCCTCGACAATGATGCCGGTGGCGCCCAGGGCCAAGCGGTTCCGGTACAGCCGCACAATGTGGGACCTCAAATATCAATCATTCCATTGAAATCGCCACTGAAGGGCGGGGAGCCAATCAGCTCCTCCACTCACCGAGCCCAAGTGCCCAGGGAGCTCCCCGATGATGTCTAATGCTCGTGGTGTGCGACGCGGAGCTGGGCCGCCCGGGCCAACAACTCGTTCGAGATTCACGACTTGGCCTGCCCGTAGCCCTCCCTCAAATACCACAAGTCTTTCTCGGATATCCGACTCCTGGGGCCCAGGGCGACCTTACGCAGCGTGGCCTCCTCAAGCGCGCGCGCGCCCGCTGAGGTGGGGTCTCAAGCTGAGCAAGGGATGTGTGCAGATATGTATGTTAATACGTATACGTGAATATATACGTTATACACATATATATATGTACATGTGTACATATGTTATAGTATAAGTAGCGCATGTCTATATGATGGTAAAGATTATGAAGAAAACTAGTATATACATATGTGTATATATATGTATATGGAATGTTACATGGTATACTTTATGATGCGTATATATATATATATACACCATATATAAAGGAAAATCTGCATCTCTAGTTTTCGTCGCCCAAAACCGAGCGCCCACGAGGCGCCCACGGGTTCCCATTCGCCTCCTCCTGCTCTTCCTCTTCCTCCTCCTGCTTCTCCTGCTCCTCCTCCTTGGCTCAAGTCGGCTCTCCGCCGGCTTGGGCGGTACTCATCTTGGCTCGAGCTCTGCACATATCAGCTCGCCAAGCTCTACCGCTCTTGCCGAGAGCCTCAATATGCTGGATGTCTTGTGCGCCGCCCATCCGCGTGCGGCCCCCCGGCAGACCTCTGGTAGCGCCGCCCATCGGGCTCGGGCGCGAAAGGTGGCCATCCGGCATGCGCAAGTGCAGGCGCTGGCCGTGAGCCGCCTGCTGGGGTGCAGTACCCCGCCCGGACTCGACCTCGGCTTCGAGAACACTCGCTTCGCGGACACCGCGTACGGCCTCGAGCTGCCGATCGAGCAGGCACTCGATACGGACGCCCAGTACGACCTAGTGCTGGACACGCTCGGGATCGCGCCGTCCGTGCCGACGACCGCCCCGCTCCACAGGGGCGACGAGGAGGAGGACATCAACTTCCTCACCACGGAGGCGCCGAATATGCCGCCTGTCGTCGAGGACTACACCATCACCAAGCGCGGGACCCTGCAGGAGGACCAGATCACCGCGAACTCCGAGGATGGACACCTCGAGCCCTCGACCAGGGAGGCGCCCTTCGTGCCATCTTTCGTCGAGAACTACGGCTTCATCATGCGAGACACCCTGCAGGAGGAAAAACTCAAGGACGCCTTCGAGGACGGAGGCAACCACGACTCTAACAAGGAGGCGCAGTGCGTGCCGCCGAACATCGAGAACTACGGCTCCACCACGGAGACCACCATGAGCAACACCCTGCAGGAGGAGAAGCTTCCAGAGGACAGGGACATCGACTTCCTGGCCATGGAGGCGCCGCACGTGCTGCAGAGCGGTGAGACAGACGGCAGCACCATGCGCGCAACCCTGCAGCAGGAGAAGCTCATTGATACTGTCGAGGAGAAGAAGCTCTTCGAGAAGCAGAACGACGTTGAGGAGGAGGAGGAGGAGGCTGGAGGCACGCAGGAAGAGTCTACACTTGCCATTGTCATATGTTTGAGCTACAAGGACTCCAACGGGAACTGGCAGAGCGTGACCGACAAAAGCCAGCACGATAATATTGAAACGAAGTACTTGGAGTACCTCCTCGACAGCAGCCAACACGTCGCGAAGGTCGACATGCTCGACGCGCGCCTCGTTATCAATTTCAAGGCTGGGTACTTCAGACCAGCAGGGAGCCGAGGTGTATCAGAGCGTCGTGACATCAGAAGGCAGATCACCAGCTCTGCCAGGTAGTGAACACCAGTAGCCTATGCACCCTCTTCCGAATGGGCCGCCGCGGCTGTAGTAGGCAGTGTGCTCTGGTATTGCTGCTCGAATATGCTGAGCTCTTCTCTGTTGTGTGCACGCCTTGCTTGTCGCATGTGACATCTGAGCTCGTACATGAAGATATGGAGATTGCCCTGCCAATTGCCCCGCTGCCGCCCTTTCACGGAAGAGGCCAGGCGGGGAGCTTCGTGAAGAGCTGGCAGGATGTAACAGCAGCTTGATGGCTGCCCCCGTCTGTCCCTGCCCACCCCTGCCGTCCTGCTCCTCAATGTTGGGGCGGAGATGCAGGGCGATTGAAGGAGAGCGGATGTAACCCCAAGGCTAAGGTTTGGGGCGGGTCGGCCAAACCTTATCCTTCCCCCCCCGTAGCATGTGATGGTCCTGCTCCTCCTCCATCTCATTATCCTCCACCTCCGCCTCCTCCCTTCCTCCTCCTCCTCCTCCTCCTCCTCCTCCTCCTCCTCCTAATCCTCCTCCTCCTCCTCCTCCTCCCTTCCTCCTCCTCCTCCTCCTTTTCCTCCTCCTCCTCCTCCTCCATCTCATTCTCCTCCCCCTGCTGTTCACCTATCCCGCCAGACCCGCCTCCTTCCTTATCGGGGAGTGGGTCGGGAGGGAGAGCTCTGCGAGCGGTCAGAACGTTCAAGATGGCCAAAGATGGTCCCAAGCTGGCCCCATATAGCCCAAGATGGCATCTAAAATCGTTCTAGATAACGCAAACTGGCTCTAGATAACTTCCAACATGCCTCCGGGAGACACCACGACCGCCCCAAGACAGCTCCACGTGGCCACGGAGTCGCCCAAGAATACCCCTAGAGGCCCAAATCCGCCCAAAACCTCAGGAGCATCAATGCGTGTTGTCTTCTCGCCCTGTCGCTTCCGATGGGCTCTTGAGGCCTACAGATAGCTCCAATACTTTTCAAGAAACACCAGGAGGGGCCCAATGCGGCCAGTAGGGCCCAGGAGCGCCCTCAGAGGCTCGCAAGAAGCGATTCTGAGGGCCCTCACAGGGGGCTGACACTAAGAGCCCCTTTTCTGCCATCGATGGCCCCAAATCGGCGGTGGCCTAAAAGGGTCCCAAGAGAGGGCCCCTGAGAGCCCAAAGGGCTGCCCAAAAGGCTTCAGGATGGCTGAACAAGGCCCCTCGAGGATTCAAATTCCGACAGTGTATGCTTACCTACGCCTCTCCTCTAGACAAATCTCCTGCGCATCAATTGTGGATTTGCCGGTGGGGATGCGCGAAGCGTCATGCAACTCCTCCGCATCCTCCCCCATCCGCCTTTTGCTTCGTCCTCCTCCTCCTCCTCCTCCTCCTCCTCCGCACTGGAGGGGTAAGGGCTGGTGTTGGCAGCAAGCGACGGCGACAATCGAGGTTCGTATGGCCAGCGGCCACCGACAATCGGAAGTGGCTGCTGCTGGCAACCAACGGAGCGGCAACTACAGGACGTATCTGCTGACATCAATTGTGAGGAATATCGCAACCACCATGCCGTAGGTTCGCGCGGCGTCGATGAGCGCGAAAATTTTTGACACCGCGTCGATCGCTCAGCCTTGACCCGGTCAAGGCCCCGATCGGTCAAGGTCGAATTCCGTCGTGTGTGCCCACGGAGTGCAACCTTGAACACCCTCGCCAGCGGGGCATCGCCGCATGGACCTACCGTATACCATGGCCCATGTGCTGCGGCAAACTGGCATGGGCACAACGCTCTTACGACACAGCCTACCATGAAAATGAAGCAACCCGTGCGACAAACCCGCCGCGCTGCGCGTGGGACACCGCCGACAAGCCTGGCGTATCATTATGCCGCCGGCCAGTCCACACAAACAAACCGCTGAGGCGACGGCACGAACTGCGGCTCCTCGGCGGAGGCTAAAGCCATGCGGAGCAAGTCCATGCGAAGTGATCTCGGCCTCCGTCTGGGCTCACCCCGTTTGGATATAGCTCCTTTCGATCGAAGGCTAAATCCACACGGAGTGCGTCCACACGGAGCGCTCCGCCTCCGTCTGGGCTCACTCCGCCTGGACTCCACCTCTCCTGAGGCTCCGACCTCCCGTGTAGCAGCGCAGCGCGGCGACAGCGGCGCCGGCAGCGGCGACCTCGGCACGCCCCCCGCTCTGGGCCGAGACCCGCGGCCGCGCGCGCCGATCCGCGGGCGGAGCGCCGAGTTCGGACGCCCGAAAAGAGCACGGCGCCCATCCCGATCAGGCGTGACGATCGACCGCCCCGACACAGATCGACCGACCGATCGGCCCGACCGTTGGGCCGCCCGAGTGGAGGGCAGAGCATCCCCCCCATAATAGTCACCTCGACACGCGAGGCCGGGTAGTGAACGCACCCAGAGAAGGTATCGAGCAGGGCGAGGCTGCTTAGTAAACGCTCGGGGCCGTTTAGCAAACGCCCATTGTCGGGTCCGGGTGGTACTCCTTCCCTTGGCCTAAGCTCACGGATCGGGGCTTCTAGCCTGGCGACACCAGCAGCGAGGCGGCCCTCTCGAGGGAGCTCGGCGAGGCCGCCCTCGGCGAGCCGGGCGAAGAGGCGGTTGGAGAATCCACCTTCACGAATGCCCGCGGCCTCGCCTCCCTCACGGCAGCTCGAAGGTCCCCGAATCGAGACAACTCTCGACTTGCCTCTTTGACCTCGGAGGCCAGGTCCCGCCGCAGACTCTTTGGCGCCGCCTCGCGGCTGGCCGAGGCCTCTTCGCGCTGCTGCAGCGTCGCATGAGAAAGCTCTGCCAGCGCCACCGCGCCGAGCTGCTGCGCGTGCTCGGCCGATCTGAAGTCCTGCAGCAGCCTCATGAGCACATCGAGGCTCGCCAAGGCCTCCTCCTCTCGCTCGCGCGCCGTGGCTTCTAGCGAGGCGCCCCGCTCGGCGAAGGCCTCCGCGTCAAGGTGCCGCGCCTGCCTCGCCGACTCGAGCTCCAGCTGCAGCTCCTGCTCTACTCCACGCAGCTCCTCGCCATGGTGCTGTGCCGCCCGGAGCTCCTGCTGCAGAGGCTGGAGGGCCTCCTGCGAGAGGGCCTTCTCGCTCTCGGCTCGCTCCTCCTCCGCGAGCAGGTCCCGCCGCAGACTCTCGAGCGTCGCCTCCCGCTGCTGCAACTCCTGCAAGAGCCTCTGGAGCAAATCTTGGCTCGACACGGCCTCCTCATCTCGCTCGCGCGCCGTGGCTTCTAGCGAGGCGCCCCGCTCGGCGAAGGCCTCCGCGTCAAGGTGCCGCGCCTGCCTCGCCGATTCGAGCTCCAGCTGCAGCTCCTGCTGTACTCCACGCAGCTCCTCGCCATGGTGCTGTGCAGCCCGGAGCTCCTGCTGCAGATGCTGGAGGGCCTCCTGCGAGAGGGCCTCCTCGCTCTCGGCTCGCTCCTCCTCCGCGAGCAGGTCCCGCCGCAGACTCTCGAGCGTCGCCTCCCGCTGCTGCAACGTCCTACGAGACTGTCTCAGCTCGTGCCGAGCATCATCGAGGGAGGCATCCCGCTCGGTCAGCGCCTCCGCGCCGAGCTGCTGCGCGTGCTCGGCCGATCCGAGCTCCTTCAAGAGCTCCTGGACCACATCTTGGCTCGACACGGCCTCCTCCTCTCGCTGGCGCGCCGTGGCTTCTAGCGAGGCGCCCCGCTCGGCGAAGGCCTCCGAGTCCAGGTGCCGCGCCTGCCTCGCCGACTCGAGCTCCAGCTGCAGCTCTTGCTGCGCCCCACGCAGCTCCTCGCCATGGTGCTGTGCAGCCCGGAGCTCCTGCTGCAGATGCTGGAGGGCCTCCTGCGAGAGGGCCTTCTCGCTCTCGGCTCGCTCCTCCTCCGCGAGCAGGTCCCGCCGCAGACTCTCGAGCGTCGCCTCCCGCTGATGCAACTCCTGCAAAAGCCTCTGGAGCAAATCTTGGCTCGACACGGCCTCCTCATCTCGCTCGCGCGCCGTGGCTTCTAGCGAGGCGCCCCGCTCGGCGAAGGCCTCCGCGTCAAGGTGCCGCGCCTGCCTCGCCGACTCGAGCTCCAGCTGCAGCTCCTGCTGTACTCCACGCAGCTCCTCGCCATGGTGCTGTGCCGCCCAGAGCTCCTGCTGCAAATGCTGGAGGGCCTCCTGCGAGAGGGCATTCTCGCTCTCGGCTCGCTCCTCCTCCGCGAGCAGGTCCCGCCGCAGACTCTCGAGCGTCGCCTCCCGCTGCTGCAACGTCCTACGAGACTGCCTCAGCTCGTGCCGAGCATCATCGAGGGAGGCATCCCGCTCGGTCAGCGCCTCCGCGCCGAGCTGCTGCGCGTGCTCGGCCGATCCGAGCTCCTGCAAGAGCCCCTGGAGCACATCTTGGCTCGACACGGCCTCCTCCTCTCGCTGGCGCGCCGTGGCTTCTAGCGAGGCGCCCCGCTCGGCGAAGGCCTCCGAGTCAAGGTGCCGCGCCTGCCTCGCCGACTCGAGCTCCAGCTGCAGCTCTTGCTGCGCCCCACGCAGCTCCTCGCCATGGTGCTGTGCCGCCCGGAGCTCCTGCTGCAGATGCTGGAGGGCCACCTGCGAGCGGGCCTTCTCGCTCTCGGCTCGCTTCTCCTCCGCGAGCAGGTCCCGCCGCAGACTCTCCAGCACAGCCTCGCGGCTGGCCGAGGCCTCCTCGTGCTGCTGTAGCGTCGAGTGACACTGACCCAGCTCGCGCCGAACGTTCTCGAGCGATGCGTCCCGCTCGGTCAGCGCCTCGGCGCCGATATGTTGCGCGTGCTCGGCCGCTCTGAGCTCCTGCTGAAGCCTCTTGAGCACAGCGTCTTGCCTCGCCAAGGCCTGCACCATCGACTCAAACTCCAGCTGAAACTCCTGCTGCACCCCACGCAGCTCCACGCCATGGTGATGTGACGCCCGGAGCTCCTGCCGCAGATGCTGGAGGGCCTCCTGTGAGCGGGCATTCTCGCTCTCTGCTTGCTTCTCCTCCGCGAGCAGGTCCCGCCGCAGACTCTCCAGCACCGCCTCGCGGCTGGCCGAGGCCTCCTCGTGCTGCTGCAGCATCGCGTGAGACTGCCCCAGCTCGCGCCGAGCGTCGTCGAGCGAGGCATCCCGCTCTGACAGCGCCTCGGCGCCGAGCTGTTGCGCGTGCTCGGCCGCTCTGAGCTCCTGCTGAAACTTCTTGAGCACAGCGTCTTGCCTCGCCAAGGCCTCCTCCTCTCGCTCGCGCGTCGTGGCTTCGAGCGAGGCGCTCCGCTCGGCAAATGACTCCGCGTCAAGGTGCCGCGCCTGCCTCACCGACTCGAGCTCCAGCTGCAGCTCCTGCTGCGCCCCACGCAACTCCTCGCCATGGTGCTGTGCCGCCCGGAGCTTTTGCCGCAGATGCTCGAGGGCCTCCTGCGAGTGGGCCTCCTCGCTCTCGGCTCGCTTCTCTTCCGAGAGCAAGTCCCGCCGCAGACTCTCCAGCACAGCCTCGCGGCTGGCCGAGGCCTCCTCGTGCTGCTGCAGCGTCTCGTGAGACTGCCCCAGCTCGTGCCGAGCGTCGTCGAGCGAGGTATCCCGCTCGGTCAGCGCCTCGGCGCCGATCTGCTGCGCGCGCTCGGCCGCTCTGAGCTCCTGCTGCAGCCTCTTGAGCACAGCGTCTTGCCTCGCCGAGGCCTCCTCCTCTCGCTCGCGCGTCGTGGCTTCGAGCGAGGCGCTCCGCTCGGCAAATGACTCCGCGTCACGGAGCTGCGCCTGCCTCACCGACTCAAGCTCCAGCTGAAAATCCTGCTGTACTCCACGCAGCTCCTCACCATGGTGCTGTGCAGCCCGGAGCTCCTGCCGCAGATGCTCGAGGGCCTCCTGCGAGCGGGCCTCCTCGCTCTCGGCCCGCCTGGTCGCCATCCTCTGCGTTGTCAGGGCGGCACACGCCGCATCAGCACGGACAAGGTCGTCCTCCCGCACTGAGCCCCTGGACCAACGCGACGGCGACGAGAACGTCGAGTTGGCACGAGAACCCTCCTGTGCGCGGACCGCCCGCCGGCGAACCTCCACCAGCTCGGCCCGGAGGTCCTGGGCGAACGCGGCCTGTCGCCTCGCGTTCTCCAGCTCGAGGATGAGCTCCTCGGACCGGGCCTCCAGCTGGACGACCTGGCTCTCCTCCGGGCAACAAGCCGGTGCCGACACCGCCACTCCCCGACCTGTCCCGTGGCGCTCTCTGGCCAGGACCTCGAGGCGAACCCAGCCGCGGCGCCAAGGGCCCCCGAGGAGGCCCCACACGGCGGCATCGAGGGGAGAGGCAGCGGCATCGGTGCGATGCATCTTCCTCCTCGGCTCCTCCGCTAGCCTCTGCAGCGCACCCCCAGCCTTAGGTCGGGCGTGTCCCCCTACAGGCGGTTTTTGACGAAAAAAACATAATAGGCAAACATATTCCCTAACAGCCACAAATACTTTTAAACATCGTCCCCTATTAGTTGTTGTTGACTGTGTTTGAATAGTCCTCCTGTAGATTAACGGGCGAAGAACGGTAAAAAATACACTTTTTCGCCGTCTGTCATACCTGCCCCAGGGCGGCTGGAAAGTTTATACCCTTACGGTGGCACCGTAGGGGTATAAACTCTCCAGCCGCCCAGGGGCAGGTGTCCCCGACGGCGAAAAAGTTGATGTTATACCGTTCTTCGCTCGCTGAGTAGAGGGACAGGCCCGACTTAACCCTGGCCCCTGCCTCGGCCGCGGCCCCCGCGCACGGCCCCGGCAGGCAAGTCCGCGCCAGGCAGGCCCGCGCCTGCCCCCCGCAGGCCTCGGCCCCGACGGGGGACGAGGCCGGGCGGGCGCTCACCTCGGCCATGGCCGCGCTGCGGGCCCGCAACGGGCCTGGCGGCCGCGCGGCTCGGCGGCCTGGCTTCCGTCCACCGCCTCCCCCTCCTCCTCCTCCCCCTCCTCCTCCTCCTCCTCCTCCT